TCAGGCATAAACATGAAACAATGAAATTTGACGTTGCGGGAGAGGGAATTGTTATAAAGTATATCCACATTAGCGAGAGAGACTAAAAAGATCAGAAAGATAGCATCACCTCAAATCACATCCCATATTTTCTGAAGCTTCCCAAACGGAATGGCGCGAACCATTTGATTTTCCAACTGGAATTTCCGGTTTTCCCATGTAAATGGTAAGTACCCCCCATCTCGATTTCGTTCTGTTAGGGAGCAACGTAATACATTTACTGAGTAGATAGCTCTGTGCTTACTCTACAAGATGATGCCATTTATGTTTGTTATAACGTCACTTGTTCGGTCATCTTAGATCGCCATCTTGGATTTCACTTTTTTCTTGAAACGTCAAAAATAGCGGAAATTATTACAAAATCAAGTCAAAATGCTTATAAAAAACTCTCTGCTATTTAATAAGGAGAACTGGAAAAAAAATGTAGAATTATGTCAAAAAGGCAGATTTTCGCTAGACCTACATGGAACTTTGCAGTTGCCGTGGCAACGTCAAAAATCATGGGGACACTATTGACATATCAAAATTTCCGCGAAGGATGAATGAACAGCAACTGAAAGTTTCATCATCTTAGAATCAACGTAACCGTCTTTTCAAGACTTTGAAAAAACCTTTAGTCGGGATTGCATCCACCCCGCCCCCCTTCCTCTCCCAACTCCTTGTATGCACGAGGGTTAATTTTAAACTTAACAGTGTATCTTCCTTATAATTATAAAAGCTGATTACAAACTTTAGGAAATAGACTTGATCCCCGTCAAAATGAAGTCAAAAGTCCATGAAACTCATTTGGAAATGCTAACTTGCTAACTAGGAAGCATGCCTGTCAATTGAAAAGAAGATATCCTTGTTCTCTCATTTTTTTTTTTTTTCTTTTCTGTTCAATGGTGTCGTCTTGGTTAGCATACCCGTGCAGTGATATTTGTCCAATGTATTTTTATTAAGTGTTTTAAAAAATTTATAATGTGCTACATATTTTACACTACTTGATTACTGATGTCATTGTATTAGGCCAGTGTAGTCCAATATAATTATAACCAATTCTCACATAGCATATCTGCACTGGATTAAAACGAATAGTATGGCCATGATGGTTAATATTAATTTTAAATAAGTTTGTTTTTTTCATTTATTAAGTTCCTCCAGAGTTTATTAAGACCCCCGATAGGCTCACAAACGTTCTTGGAAATTCAGTAGCCTCCGTTTCATGCCGAGCCTTTGGTTTTCCGCCGCCAACAATTGTCTGGTCAAGGGGACTTGTGCCGTTACCGCAAGGACGAACCACTGTTGCCAATGGTACACTGAAAATCTCCAACTTTAGTCCTGAAGACGTTGGTCCTTATCAATGCAAGGCCACCAACAAGCTGGGATCTGTTACTGCACTTACAACCTTGCATTTTAACCAAAGTAAGAGGCAGTTGTGGATGAAGTTATGAATACAACGATGCCCATGAAACAGTAGTACTTGCAATTCTTTAAGAGAGTCTTTTATAGGAACTTTCTTCTAAAGGTCTTCTTTCGTTTAACATGATTTAGGTATTCTTTGGGCAACTTGTCTCTTCAACATTAATTTCTTCTTTCTTTATAAAAACACGCCGAATACATATATCTTGTTACCCAAGCGCGGGGATAGTGCTGGCAGAATGACCTTCCGAGGTCTTGACAACAACTTACGTACAAATCGTAGCCAGGTCCGCCTAAAGAAAAGATTAAAGGCCGATATATATATATATATTCTCCGCGTTCGGTCTCGATGAAGGCGAGGTAATAAGAACTTTGATAGAACCGGACTGAAAGTGTTTATTAAAATATTCTTACGATCACGGACTAGAAAGAAAAATATCGTAAACAACGTAAATAAAAAGCACCTAATAATGATTGAGAAGCGACTCAACCTGTAATCACGTCTCACTTTTTCAACAAGGAGAAGGTAAAAATACAGAGTCCTTAACGTTATAAGTTAAGCGGCAGTCCCGCTAAAAGTGGTCCACTCGATTTCGGGACCAAAAATAATTTTCCTTCATTTTTTGTCAGTGAAAAGGGTTTGACACATATATATAAAAAAGCACTTTATTATTTTCCAATTCCTTATTTTTGCTTTGCTACGAGCCAAAATTGAATTTTGGC